ATGTTGATTGATGCCTAATTGTTAGGTAGCTACCCGCAAGGCCGCTGATGTCAGAGCTGCCGAAGCTGCCATAGCTGAGAAGCATGTAGACTCTACTATCGTGTCCCTTGGTGAAATTCCACTTGCTTACGCATAAAGTGATATTGAGTGTCGTTTTGCTTTGTGAACTTGTGAAATTCGGGATTCTCGGCCAACGCAATCTAGCCTGGTTGTCTTCGAAGTATAAAGTCGGTGCATTATTGGTAGATTTGCCAAGCTCGCTCTTGAGTCACCATATCTTAGGTGGCCTCGGATAGCGTCATGTACTCTGCTTCGGTCGACGAGAGTGCCGCCGAGGGGTCATCAGCTGCGTAAGGCTAGCTTGTAAACTTGCAGAGTGTTAGTAAAATGAGAAACGTATTATTCAACAACCGGCAAGACCTATCATGCATAACCTAACGGATATGCATAGTAAAACTCGTCCACCAACTGTCCAATTATCTGCCATTTTCCCATGCCAACTGCCATGTCACAACCCATCCAATGACAGTCGTATCCATTTATCAACCCTCAGTTGGCCAGCATGGCATACACCCCATGAAGCACTAGACCTATAGCGGAATGATTACAAAACCTGACTTGATCATTCACCTCCAAACGCTGTGTATATTCCCGTTTATTTCTGGCTAGGATTGCGTCAAACTGTCTTTTCAGCAGCTTGCTACGTAAAGTTGTCGAGTGATCATGTCTTGTCCATATAACAGCAGTCTACGGGAAGCATGTAGGATGCTATGATAGCTGATTCGGATGACAAAGGCTTCATAGTGAATGGCTTTTGTTCGTTATACGCCTTCGTAACAATCCCAGTTAAACGTGTTGGAATGTGATGACCTTGGCCGATACCGGAATAACACCACGCACAGGAAAGGCCACGGCCTGTCCGGCAGCACACGACAGGCGATGACCAGCACCTGAGAGGTTACAGTGGCCACTTGGTGGTTAAATATGAGCAAGTTGCTCTACCGCACATGTGCTCCACTCGCGAGTACAAGTCCTCTTTTATTCTCTATTTTCTCCTAATCAATACTTACATCTGTCTTTTACCTCGCCATGATCCTTCTTCGACTTCCTTAAACCAACCTTTAATCAGTACGAGCGCTATTTCTTTCTACGTCAGCACATTAAGCATGAAAACGTACATAGTTGTGCTGCGACGCGACTCTATGTCACCGGCTCAGTCGGCATACAAGTAATTGTACAGCAAACGATCAATGTAATCTTCGTCGCGTTTTTCAAACACAAGTCCGTGCGTCAGTATACCGAAAACGAGCTTGAATCCTTTCTATGTGCTGGACACGACTGCCACAGCAAGGTCTGGTCGAGTCGCCATCATTAGGTTACACACGGCAACGTCATTACGGTATGCCTTGCATGGATTCGTCGTGATTGCAGCCATTATGGCACATCATTCTGGCCAACTTGAGTCATGGAGCATGTGGCATCTTTACTGGCTTACACTCTTGCATACCAACTTTTTCAGAATCGTGTAAAAAAATGCTCTGCTGCATACCCACCGTGGCAAGTTATGGCTGCGCGATATCTCCATGCCGAGATAGGGCTTCACTTTAGCAAGGCTGGAATCTTCAAACTGGTTGCTGAGAAAGCTCTTGATTGTCGACCTTTTATCGAGTCGGAGTTGCACGCAATGATTTTAAGATACCGCCATTGCGCATAACATCTACGCAGTAATTAGAGTCACCCTTGTTAGATTCAATCGATCATGATATCGGTGATGTCTGATTTCATATCACTGGTGCTACAATGAGTCTGTACAGCGATCTTGCACATAAAGTCGACCTCATTATGTCGAATAAGCATTCCTCTCAAGCTTTTTCTAAAAGATCGTTTCGTTACGCGTGGAAAACGCGGTCTTGACGTCCTTCTGCGTAGCAGCAATTTGTACTTGGCTGCGAGTGTTGCACAACTCATTATTAAAGCAAAAATGGCTCTGGTCTCGAGAATTTTAGCTCTATTCACTTCCGCGATACTGTTAACTTGGTCGTGGTGCATCCAATAAAAAAAGTAGCAGCGTGCTAAAACTTCCATCTAGCGTTTCCTCTCGTTTGTAATCGTCCCGGACTTTGTGGAATGCGACAATAGCCACAGATCTTATGAGCAAATACTACCAAGTACACCGACAAATCACTGGAAGTACCTCAAGCATCTCAGTGAAGCTTGACCAGCATTAATATCTCGACCGCTGGGCTGAAGACAGGAGTGTGTAACCGCGTTCATCTGGATAGCTCCACTGTATCATGGGAAGCGAAACAACGTGCGTTGTTGTTCTGGCACCTGCGTCATTCTTATCGTCCATGGTAGCGGCTGGTGGACATCATTACAAAGCCGATTGCAGCACATTAGATCGTCGAACTGAGGACGAGGCTCGGCATCAAGACCGCTGTTATGAACAGTGAGAGTGGTGTTAAGACAGACCACACGTCAGTAATTCGGCCGGCTGATAGCATACATGGTATCAGCGCGTCTTAAAACGCTCTCAGCGTGAGCTACATCTCAGGTAGGTATGTCGAGACGAATCCAGCGATTATCCTGTAAGGAATACAATATATATTTAATCATTTTTAAGCTCAACATATGTTTTTATAACAAAAGTAACATTTGCTCGTGGTGTTCGGTCACTTCCCAAACGACAGCCAAGTGCGACAAGATTTAGAGACATAGATTGGTGAACCGGCTCCCCTCAAACCTTTTTTGCACGGGAAGTTCCACATAGTGGGTTCAAGAAGGAATGTCAAAGGGGAGGAAAGGGTCTTGTCCTCGCTGCGCGTGCGCTTTGGGAGGTAGCACAACCGGTGACTCGAGAGAGGAGCGGTCCTCAGTTTATCCCAGGGTATTGGGAGTGGCATCGACAAAATATATATTCACCCTACACCCCAAAGCCACTTCCAACCATTCGCGATCTGTCAAGCCGCCGGCTTCGCCGAGCACGAGCCATGGTACCACGAAGCGAACACTGTCCAGGGGGATTGTCCCGTGACGTCCGAAGTATCGAGCTAGCAGAACTAGCGAGAAGAAGTACAAACGCGTAATGGTATAGGGATGAGGTACTGATGATTCCATTATATCGCTACCTTCCGATAAATATACCTTATATGCATCATCATCTCCGTACGGTCGGTCTCCAAACGCTTATCGTGGAACGACAAATATCAGCTTTTTTTGCATTGTTTCGCTTCGCCTTTACAAATCTTTCTTGCAATTTAAATTTCGTTACTTCTGAAAGCCTCAGCAAGTGCATCTCATAGCAGCGTACCTGCTCCAATTTGTCACGGCCTCTACATAATCATTCTTCATTCTTCTAGGTCACAAAAAGACTTCTTTTATTTAGTCAGATTCTGGTGCAAAACAGAGAAGCTCTCTTCTTTGAAAGTAAATTGCTAGCAGACCACGGTACCTATGTCATTGTTGCGGCTTGCGAAAAGAAACAGTTTCGACACAACCTGGTAGGATGGAGACGTCAATTTTGGGCGGGCACTTTACATCTGCCCCCACTACGCAGACACACACCTACCTGTACCTACAAAAGACTTTCGGCGTAACTGTGTAGATAGTTGCAATGTAAGACTAATCCCGCTAAGATTTAAGCCATAGTAAATAGACCAGTGACCACACAATCAAACTATAGGTGTAATTGTGTGGTCTCTTTGAGTCTAAAGCTGCAGAGAAGGACTACCCAGTTCGTGATAAGGAGCTGCTTGCAATGAAGTATGCTCTCGTCAAATTTAGAGTTCATCTGTTTGGCTTCAAGCCGTCTCTGATTTATACGGATCGCCATCCAGTAGCTTGATCTTGTAGTCAAATGTGTACCTTCTGCATGGCTTTAGGATGCCCTCCCGTACTCGAAACTCTCGTAGCTATCTGCATCTGAACAAATTAATCACCAAGCTCTTAGACTTAAATAGACGAGTAAATGTGTCCCACACAATTCAGACTATCAAGCTGAGAAAGCTACGAATGATGTCGGAAGATGTGTTCTTCCGCTCAGCATTTGGTCGAGCATTCGGACATCAATCCGTACGGGCGGTGGCTTCACACATCTTCCGTTGCATGCGATCCCGGCGCGGTATTTTCACACATTTTCCGTTGTATACGATCCCCGAGCAATGGTTACATAATTAGTAGTAATTCCTCTAGGTAACGAGCAGCCCGTGGTATGACATTACCAGTCTATGACATCACCAGACACCCAGAGCTACTATCATTCATTCAAAATTACCGACCATCGTGCTAGTGATACAGATGAAGAAATCTCACAGCACATTCGTAAATGCCTTTCCGATACATATGCTTCGTTCTCATTTTTGCCTTCTTCGGCAGAGGTTCCTCTTTGGCACAAACTCTGCAGCAAACACCACGCCTTAAACCGCGGCGTGTCATTCTGATCAGATTGAACACGAACAAGGAATCCACAACTTCGGAAGAGAATCCGACCCACCAAGGATGGAAGGTAACCACACCAGCGACAAACGACGCTCCGGCTGAAACGACCACACTCGAGATGAAAAGTTTTGTGGTGGCAATGCGCGCGATTGGCTACGATGATGTGGACAGTTTCAAAGCCTCGCCATACGGAAGAGGCGGCACATGAGAGACAAGACCGTGGAATGACGGGGAGCTAAAAGTGCATCATACTGAGTATATACTTTGTAATGTACCACTCATCGCTCAAGCAGTCTCTGTGGCACGTGGAGATCTAGCGAATGATAGCCCGATGGCCGCTTGCCCAACACAGGAGCTACAAATTTGATTTAGAAAATAAAGAGAAATAAAGAGCTACAGTTTATTTTGCAATAGTTGCATAAATATTGAACTATTTTTCCTTATATTTGTATCGCATCTTGATTTTTGACAATATTGTTTATCCACATTGTCGTTGAAGTCCTACGTAGCTCCAGTTGTTATGAAAAGATTGCAGCGTTCGTAATCGTCCAAATTCCCCACCGATGGAGAATAAAGTGAAGAGCTCTTTTCAACGAGACCCCCTCAAGATCGATAACAGCAGTGCAGCCTCTAGTCAGTCTCCGTCACAGCCACTAGATTACGTATCTATAACACCTGCTTGTGATTATCCAGGAGCGCATGTTGCTGGTAAAGGCGACTGGAGACCGACACAAGGCGGCGGCCGACACAATGTACGTCGCTTTACTTTATATCACGGTTTTATTCGACTGTTTTAACTGATACGTATTTGTTACTGTGTTACTACGATTGATGTTGCTGGAAAATAGTCCCCACTGTATGGTAGACATCGTAAACGTCCGTCCTCTTCGTCTATAGACAGCAAAGAAAGCGAAATAGCTACTACTACTACTACTACTACTACTACTACTACTACTACATTCCAACAGACACCCAAACTGGCTCCAGTCTCCTCCTCTTCCTCTCTGGAATGTGCAAGTATCACTGGTCTATCGGTACAACCTCTACGGACGCTACAAAGGAGCAGATCAATGCACAATAACTGGGAACAAGATGCAGCTCCACAGAAGAGAATAGAGCTGTCTAGTAGTCGAGCAGGTTTGGGCTCACGGGCAAACAGTTCGGAGAATGTGTTGACGTCAACTTCTTCATTAGTTTATGATGACAAAGAGAATGGACCACGGTCATGTCCAACAACTTTTAACGATGGGAACCGACACAAGATCTCGCTTAGTAAAAGACGACAACCTCGGGGTGGTGAATTGATTGTATCCAAGCTGCAACCGACGCGCGATAATGTGAACAACATGTTGACTTATGTGCACGAACTGCAAATGTCAGAGGCGAGTCTACGCAAAGAGTTGTTGAAAACAAAGCGTCGTACAGAAGAAGAACTAAACCAGTCGCTGTTAAAGCTCAGCGAACTACAACGCACGATGCAAGAAGTGGAGTGGGATCGAAAGCGATCGCGACGGAGGTTGGAAAAAAAGGAGCAACGTATTCGGGAGCTTGCAGCCAAGTTAGAAAGGGCGGAGACGACACAACATAGGGCCAGACCTGGCCGGAGGAATATCTTCTCTATTGATGGACTACCGCAAATTGCCGAAGAAGATACGTTATATAATGAGACAGAGCCGTTGCCAACAGATCAGCCCATACCTCCCCAAGAATCAAAACGGTTGGAGGACTTATCAGAAACGCCTCCAGCCCTCACAGTGGAAGCACTTTTGCCTCCCTCACAGCAAAATCAACTTTCGAAACCCATTCTGCACCCGATCGAGACTAGCAAAGATAAGTCCACTCAGTCTGCAATTATCTCACCACGATCGCCTAATCGCCCACTTTGGGATCCATGGGCTTCAGGAGGCACCGCTTCGATGAAAGATTTGCCACCAATATTCACGATAGGATCAACAGGATTCGATCCTGAGGTGACATCGGTCGCAGTGTATGGTACAACCATGGTTGAAGATTACGAGCTGAAGTCAGTACTATTGTCCCCGCGGCAAGGACAGGATCTACTTGACAATTCAAGCAATGTGTGTCAAGAGGATAATGATCAACAGCAGAAACGTGCGTCGCCGGCGCTGCCGCTCGATCAGCATGAAGGTGTGTCGTTTGCAACACTGAACTCTAGTCCAGTTATAAGGACTGACTCATTGCTCCCGCCGCCGCCACATTCGCACCAGCAAAACTGTAGTCCGCCGGAAAAACAGGTTGCAGCTCATGAACAGATGCTAGAAAATATGGCGATTATGGAGCTTTCGTCGCAATACGACGCGACAGTACCTCCGAGCATGTCACTGGTACCTAATGTCGGAGCAATGTCTCCGATCCGGGTGGATCCAAACGAACAGCAGGATACAAACACCGCCAATGACGATAGCGAGTTTGATGTGTGGAATGGGTTTCCAGACCAGCAAGACGTGCACATAAGCGCAGCAGGAGTTGCGACAGGTAAAGAGGATTCGTCTCCGACTTCTGTAGTTACAGACTTGCCATTGCAGTCACCATTACAAGCATCGCCATGCGTTCCATATACCCAATTCAATGCCACTGACCCATCCGAGGAAATGTCTTCTCAGCTTTTCCCGCCGTCAAAGGTTCAGCCTAATCGCGTTGCCTCCGCTTCCCGAGATATGATCGAAGTTGTACAATCAAAGCCTGTGTCTTTGGAGACGTTGCTGGTAGACTTCTTCACGGAGGTAGACAATAAACGACTGAAGATGGCGAAGGTTTATGGGAAGCGATATGCAGGCCGCGAAAAGTGGCTGTTTGCTGAGTTGTCGAAGCGATATGGTGCAACAAAAGTGGCAGCGTTGAAGTTTCGATTCGACGATGGAAGTGGTGGCAGTACTTCCGCTGTCACCAACCACTGCAAGGGCAGCAATGATCCTCACGCAAGTAATTCGTCTAATGTCTCGACACACGCAAAGGCAGGGCGTCAAGTTCACCCTCGGCATCCGCCTACGCCTGCCAGCAATGTAGACCTTAGTGCTGGTGCCGGTGTATCTTCAGTGGCTTCTTCCGTTGCCCCGTTTCAGGAAAAGGACGAGTCGCGCTCTCAGATACGACAGGTTGCCGAAGAAATTAACACCGGTTCGAGTCCGAGCAAACAAACTTCTGCAAACTCTATTTCACCTCAGAAGTGTCCGACTGGAAGCAACATCTCTTCGCTGTCTGGCCCTCCACCGTCGCTCCCAACCTTGCAAGAGACTGGCGAAGGAGACAATGCGACTGCTGTTGGCACGGACGGCGCAACTTTCAGGAGTGGGCCTGCCCGAAGAACCCGACATGGAGAGCCGACCAGTCAATTCAATCAGCTATCTTCCCGCCCTCAGACTGAGAACAGTAACACTCCGCCTGTAGGTCTCCGACAGCGCCACCAATTGTCTGCCGGCAGCCAAACAAGTACTGGCGTCGAACGTCCTGATGTGACCTTAGAGGGTTTGCTAAAGGAACTGTACAAGACCCACCAACCTGATAAGCTGAAAAACGTCTCCATCGTTGCAAAGCAGTACGCTGGCAGAGAGCGTGAGCTTGTTGGGTTGTTGAAGGGAAAGTATGGAGTACTGAGCGTGAAACGGTTGGAAGAAAACCTGGACAGTCTGGAGCGTACCCACCGTGCTCACATGAGCAAAAACGGTACCAGGAAGAAGCGAGGCTGCTTTGTTCGAACGGTCTCACTGGTGTTTTGGTTCACAGTACTGCTGAATTTCTCGTTTGGAGCTGTTTTTGTCAGCTTTGTCGTGTTGAATGCGTGGGGGTGCCGCTCTTTTGACAGTGAGGAACAAGAGCTGGAAGCTGCTGGCGATTGTCTTCCGCTGAAGAAGGAGCTGGAGACTTTCACGTACGAGCGCATAGCTACCTACGTGGTCCAGTCGCATCCGGATGCTTGCTTTTGCTCGGAGTGGAAGGCGCGCGAGAGTGCGTTGTTTGATACCTTTTCAGGTGAAGACCTTGTCAAACTGGCGCGACTAGTTGCGTTTTCGCCTGTATCGTTTGGCGTGCCGTGGATTGCGATTGTGAAAGAACAAGTACCGTCGCAAACATTTTACGACAGTTATGCGAAGCCTGTGGTGGATCTGTCATTGGATGCCGGTATATTCGCGTGGTCTTCTGTTCTTGAGCTGGCAGGGTATATTGAGGTGTCGGCGATGTCTACGGCTGTGAAGAATGCCGTGGATAGTTATTTCGGTGAAACTGCTGAGGTGGACAACAAACGTTTTGCCGACAACGTTAATGCAGATGTCTTACCAATAGAGGAGGCACAAGTGGTTGATGGTGAGGCTATTGCGGTGGCACCTGGTTTGTTGGAACAAGTTTTAGTTAAGGAAGAACTAGACACTTTTGACGAAAACCGCAAGACAGATAGCCTTGAGACTAGTGATCGGGCAACTGGTTTGACGGACAATGTGTTAATGGAGGATGATGTTAGTGAAGGTATGACAACTGCCAGTGAAGAGGGCTTCTCATTGCTTTCAGAGACAGATGGAGAGGAGCTTGCTACAGTAGAATCAATCAATGTGCTAAAGATGGAAGAAGTTCCGCTAGTTGAAGTGGCTGAGTCGATTGATGCCGGCGAACAGGATTCATTCGATGAGGCCGAGGGAGAGGAAACTTGGACCGATGCGAGCATCCCAGCAGAAGAGGCTGAGTCTGCTGCAGATGCCGATGACGGAACTTCTGCTTTTACCGAGACCGAAGAAGAGGATGTCGATGTTGAGAACAGCTCCTTCAACGATATTGAGGAAGTATCTGAAGCTGAGTCTATTTTTGGTACCGATGAAGGAGTTTTTACTTTTACCGAGACCGAAGAAGCAGACGATGCAGTTGAGAACACCACATTAAACGATATTGAGGAAGTATCTGAAGCTGAGCTTGCTGGTGGTACCAATGAAGAAGTTTCTGCTTTTACCGAGATCGAAGAAGCAGACGATGCAGTTGAGAACACCACATTAAACGACATTGAAAAAGTAGCTGAAGCTGCAGTGGAAGTGAATGAAGAGATGTCAGCTGAAGATGTCATAACCGTATCGGAGGGCGTTGTGGAGGTGGAAGTACGCCAGGATGGTATCGACCTGTCGTACGCCAAGTCAGAGATGGATGAAGCGCTGACTGCGGAGTCTGCTGAGTCGTCAATCTTATCGGTGGACACGGAATCAGATCTTTTGTTCGGTGGCGGTGAAGAGCCGTCTGCTATAAGCGACGAGACAGAGGTACTAGAGGATAAAGATACATCTGAAGATGTCGTTGTCGATGCAGCAGAGGAGGATATTGCACCAGTGATGGAAGGTGTTGACGAGGATTTTGCTGCGCCAACCAGTAGTGTCATTGAGGCTGATGTGGAGAAGACGAATCTGGGGTCAGACATTGCCACAGCAAGTGAGGTGGTCGAAATTGAGGCGGAGAATGTCGGAAAGGAGCCCGAAGTCTTACAGATGGAGCCTTCACATGCGCTAAGCTTAACGATCGAGCTCGTGCTTGAAAACAGTGGATGGTCGAATTTTACTAACGCTGAAGAGCTGGCGCTGAAGTCGGCGGTTGAGGAGATTGCTGCCAGTTCGCTAAGTGAAGGACCTGAGTCGGAAGCAGACAAAGAGTTGGACGATCTAACCAAAGCTGAAGCTCAGGAGACGGAGACGATGTCTGACGAAGAAGAGGGAGTTTCGTCCGAAGAAGACGATGCCAACATCATGGTGGAGGATGATTTTATCGTGACGAATTCTGAGCTTGAGCCGTCTTTCAGCTCGATCGGGTCGGACGACGAAAACACCGCTTATGTTGAGCAGGCTGAAGTGAACGAACATATTGAGGACGCTGGATATGTTCGTGGTTGCACAAGTGAGGGCGGAGAAGATGTGATTGTTGATGAGAACGAGATTCCAGTGAATGACACTGATGCAGATGCAAATGTCTTGACGGATAGAGAAAATGCGTCAGCTACTTCCGCTGAAAACGGACCAAATCACAACGATGACGACGGAGATGAAAATGAAGAGATTGCATTCATGCTAGGACTCGAGAACCCTGACGAATTGCTTCGGTTGGCCGAACAAGCTGCTGCTGCCACAATAGAGACGACGGAGACGAGGTGACAATCTCTTTACATGTACAACAGTCCGGTCAGCTCAAAAAATGAGTAAACACGTCACATCAGACGGACAGAAACCTTCAAACCTACGGCCTGTGGCTTTTTTGCTCTGACGACTGGAGGTGTTTGGTGTAAATTAAACTGTTCATTCACCTAAAACATGGTAAGCCCGTTTATTCATTCCTTCTTTTCGGTGTTCCGAGCTTTTTACAAGCTTGCTGTCCTGACGTGTGACCAGCTTTATATGTTCAGAAGCAAGCGGCGCGGATCACTGATGGCCTCAGCGATGGTCTTCAGCAGAGTCACACCTTCTCGTCCATCAATGATACGGTGGTCATACGTCAGAGAAAGAAACATCATTGGGCGCGGCACGATCTTTCCCTCGTGCACCGTTGGGCGCATCTTCACACTGTGCACGCTCAGAACTGCAGACTGCGGCGACGCAAGCATTGAGGTGCTCAGCAGCGCTCCATTCACGCCGCTGTTTGAAATTGTAAAGGTTCCACCTGCCAAATCCTCCAGCGCCAACGTGCCGTCGCGTGCCTGCTCACCAAGAGCAGCCAGCGTCTTTTCGATGTCCACCACGCTCATCTTCTCGACATTACGGATGACAGGCATCACAACGCTAATAGAAGGACACGACACCGTATTAGTCAACGGTGAGTACCACACTTGTTCCAAACACAAAGGTCTCACCCGCGTTCCGACGCCACAGCCACGTTGATGTCCACGAAATCATTGTAGACGACTTCTTTGGCATCCATGTCGATGACTATAGACAAATCGGCCACACAAAAACATAAGTAAACTGATGCCACATCAATTGAGAGCACCACACCCACAATTGAAACGTACAGGAATTTGCCGCAGGAACGCGCTGAAGCGCCTGTGCACTCGCCTTGAGGAACGATGACATAATGCCAATCTTCACACCATGTGTCTTCTCGAAGCTATCACCCAGCTCTTCACGTAGGGCAATCAAGTTGCCCAGATCGCACTCCTGGAATGTGGACAGCATGGCAGCACTGTTTTGCGTGTCCTTTAGTCGCTGCGAAGCGCGGACCTTCAACATGCTCATCTGCACGCGCGTCTCGTTGCGGTTAAAGTGGCCTGTGGCAGGCGCCGCAAACGCAGCCGGGATGGGAGTTGAAGCCTGTGGTGGGGGCGCCGGAGCCTTCTGAGCAGGTACAGCAGGTACAGCAGATGCAGCAGATACAGCAGGGGACGATGCCAGAGTCGCAGACTCAGCTGGCGCATGCGCCGCCTTATCGATCACAAACAGGGGTGATCCCACTTTTACAACGTCATCAAGTTTCGCTAAAATACTCGTGACTTTTCCAGAAAAAGGGGCGTTCACATCCACGCTCACCTGGTGAAACGACTCTTTGTCAGTCAGCGGGCTTTACAGGTACAAAATCATAGTATAATCCCACCTTGTCAGTCTCCACGATGAGCACAGCCTCGTCAGCGCGCACATAATCACCGACGTCTGTAAGACCACAAGAAGCAAAAATTAATAAACGTGTACACACCTGTACGTGCTACAAAGACAATGGCATACTCTTTAGGATGGTTACAATGGTGCCTTCCGAGATCGAATCACCCATAGACGGCACATTGACGGTCTCAAGGTCCTCTCCACCAGGAACTGCTTCTTCGATCGGGGCAATCTCAGCAGCTGTAGCAGAAGTCGTAGCTACCGGCGCACTGCTGGCAGCCTGCTTCATGACGCTAAAAAGCGGCGCGCCTACGAGCACGTTCTCGTCGATCTGAGCCAACTGAGCCTCCAGAACGCCAGAGAACGGCGCACGCACGTCAACACTGACCTTGTCAGTCTCCAAAACCACAACCACCTCATCCGTCTCTACAAAGTCACCAGGGGCTGCAAAGAGAACGCCACACCATAATTTTTGTCAGTTTGTCAGTCAATTTACTTGGAAATCTGCAGTTTCTTCCAGTACCTTTTAGCCACTCAACCACTGTACCCTCCGAGATGGAATCACCCATGGATGGAACAGGAACGGACTCAGCAGTAGCTACAGCATAAGTAAAAAATGTCACAACAAACACGTGAAACACGTACAAATGCCAGTACAAATCCCATCAAGTAGCCAACCAGAAGAGAATGTGCGAGTCATCATCAATGTCTGTAAGCGGAAGCAGCTACAGCACAAGACATTGCAGTCGTTTAGGGTCAATGAAAGTACCAATTGCAAGAGATAATCGACAAACCTCTTGGGTTGCAATGGGACGATAGACAAGACACGCATTTGCCGCTGAACGGCAAGCAGCACCCCCTGTGAGTGTACATTTCTAGACACATTGACAGCTGTGCGACATGCAACGAGGTGTCGGCTGCGTGTGCCTCTCTTTAATACACGAAGAATGCTCATGACTCAAAGACCGGGGTCCTTCCTTGCTGCTCTCGGGCCGCACGATCGAATCTGTAGCAAAAAAGCACCCTGCCACACCAGGTGCACACAACTTGCACGTTGTTGCTCAAGTCACAATCAAGCAACATGATGAAGTCGATGTGGTGCACATATTAATCCCCATGCCGCTCATGCCGGGGTCTCCGCGACCGGGCACGCCTGTACCTCACGAGGAGGACGACGGCGTGTACCGCTCTTTGTTTCAGCAGCCAGTAGTCGAGATTCCCCCGACAGCACCCCCTTATGCCTGGTTTGAGTTCCTACTACACCCAAAGGCGCTCCAAAAGCACGTACGCTATACTGTCTCTTTTTTACTCCCGTCATCTTCTGCAACTTGACCATCACTCTGCTTTCTGTGTCATATAGCTGACAACCCTTCGTCACCAAAAACAATGTAACGCACACAATGCCACATCGGCTATTGAATTGGTGCGAGAGTTCCTCGAGCAGGCTCAGCTGGTGGCTGATGAAGGAAACGTGCGTAATAAACGCTACAGTGCATTGCTACTGGTAGCGGCCCAAGTTGCACTGCAGATGCAGTTGTCACTCTCAATCATTGAACAGGCGCTGGCTTTGCACTTTCAGCGGCTGTTACTGGACGGTATCGTGGACTTTGCGGAGCAGCCGCTTAGCAGTCGAAATGAATTCATGCGGGATGTGATGATTCAGCCCTACGAAGCTCATGTGTTGCACAATCGATGGACGTTGCGGGCGCTCGTTAAGCAGTCGCAGAATGGATATCTGACCTGCAGTTCACGCAGTGAGGGCGAGGAGATCTCGTCCACTTATCAAATGGCCCTGGGAGATCTCATGACCAGTCACTTGCAGATTGCACAGAATGTTCTGATGATCTTGATGAATGATGAAAAGCAGCCACTGACAGCACAGACTCGACTGGAAACGTACTACGATTTGGGTATCTATTTTTTCAGCTTTAATGGGTTTGAAAAGGCCTACAGCTGCTTTAGTCGTGCTCTGGAACTTGTAGAAGATGGAGAAAATGATGACGAAAAAATGGAAGAAGACAGCACAAGCAAGTTTTCTGTGGATGATCGAGCGAATCTGGAAGGCTATCTAACTGCATGCGAAGCTGTGCTAGAGGTGCAGTCTGTGAATGAGAGCCCTGCATTGCTGAAAACACCAAGGTTACAGATTGAGATGGCCTGGGAAGCACGAGATTGGGACAAGGTGATCCAGGTACTTGAAAGTGACATTGTGGCTTCAAAGCTGACGAAGCTATCGCAGGGTTATCGAAGTGCACTGGAGCAACAAGCACTTCGTCTACTGCGATTGAGTAGCAGCAATCTTATGGAGGAAGATCCACATGTTGCTGCTTCTACCATAAGATGTTTTTACAAACGCATTGTGATGGAAAATGCCGTGATGATTCTTTTGCTTGATGGTGACCAGGAACCGACCACGTCTCTAGAGAATTGCGTCTGCGTTTGCATTCGTCTGCTTCAAGACGAGATTTTCCATTCGATAGCACGAAACACCAGCAACAATGATGAGACCCAAGAATACTTTGCAGTGCTAGCTCGTTTCATGCTGGGACTCAGTGGTTTTGCATTTTCGAACGGCCCGGATGATAACGCCAAGTCACATATCAAGCAATTTGTCTGTCAAGTTATTCGTCACTTTCCGTGCATTACTAGCCTAGAAGGCGTGTCAGAGCTCCTTCAACGCTGCGGGGGTCTTCATGCAATAACCGACTTTGCATCCGTGCCTTTTGAGGAGAGTTTGGCTAGTGTAGTCGCGGTAGAAGGACGGCTTCGAAGTGCGGTGGCTAGGCAAAGGGAATATTCTTGCATGATGGCAGACGTGGGTAGTATGTTTGCATTTGCTAGCGTGAAACTAAAGGATGCGTTTGTTGCTGGTCTTCAAGACGAAGTGGCTGACGTGTCCGGGGCCAGAAACATAGCAGAACTGGCAGAGGACGTGGGCATTGAACGACACAGCACGCTTTTTCGAAATCTGATCACGTTTTGCGCAGCCAATAGCTGCTGGGAAGTGCTGAGCCAGTGCGAGGTTGTGGCACCTGTTTCATCGCATTTGCGCTGCGAATTGGAGTTTGTGGTGGCGTGTGGTGCGCTGATCCAGTATTTGTCATCTCTTGCGTCGCCTCCGCTCTCCGTCCGTGCACAGAGCGCGAAGATCTCTACTGCAGGAAATGACACATCTTTTGTAGTCAGGGGCCGAAAAGAATAAATTCTCCATCTCGGCAAGCAACAAGCTCATGGCAGAAATCTTGTTGAAGTGGCGTGAATGGATGAGCGCGATCCGTGCAAGTCTGTCAGACAGTTCTGGTGACGAGAAACAGACCGAGATGGAGTCAAAGAAGCTGTTGATGTGCCTTCCTTTGTGGATTGTGGAGACACTTGTGTGTGTTTCCGCTGGGCTATTGCACCGCGCTTACATGCGTCATGCCTGTGACTACCGTGTATCCTTCGATCTTACTCCTTACGGAGACCTCGCGTTTTTGGAGGCATTTGCACCCGACACGCCGTCGACAACATCTCAGACAAGAACAACTGGCGCTACTGTCCTATTCGTGAAAACGTATCAGGAAGATTTGGTAGGATTGCATTCCAGAGCTCTCGAGAGCTTAGTGTGCCGTTGTGGCCGCGAGCCAAGGTGGCATTGTGCCAAAGCTGATGTGCTTTTGAATCCGCTATCAAAACGACGATTTTCTTCGACCTGTGGTGAGTCTACTTCAGGTGGCGCAACTTGATTTTGAGTTGCTTTTTAACAGTTGTAAGTTACTGCTGACAGATCCGAGCGCTGCTCTAAAGCGTTATTTGGTGGCAGCCTCACTGGCTACTAATTACTTCGCTGACATGGTTTCCGTGGTGGATATCATAGATCAGAGCTCGCTTGTCCGTTTGGTACGTATTGTGCGAACGTTTGGTGCATAGTGCTATTGCTTGGTGTTCTTACACTTTCATCTTGCCAACCCCAGAGCCAATGCCTCTTGAAAGTAGGTGCGCACGTCGCAGCTGCCATTCTGTATCAGTGTTTTATGCCTGAGGAATTCAAGTACGGCCTCCGGATCTTGCAACTGGCTCCCGAGTCCCATGACGAGGCCTTTTTTCAGTACTTTTGGGAGGTACTTAGTATTTCGTAGAGCTGCATCTCTTTGTGTAATTGGTGGGAGGACTAAACAATGTATTTTTCGATATGATGCATGTCGCAGCTGCCGTTCCTGGAGTTACTAGTGGACCTTCATTCGAGTCCGAAATACCTCAATGATAGGTACGTGCAAGTAAAGTGGGTTGTTTAACCTCGGGGTGTTGCGTATGACTTTTCATATTGTTGTTGTTGTTCAGATATGTGATGCTGTTGACAAACCTTATTCAGTCCCCCGAGCTGAACAGTTCAAATCCCTCATCAGTCGTTAAAGACGCTGAACACCGCATTCTTCGCTGCTACTTTCGGGACCTGTGCAGAATTTATCTCAGCAACTAAGTGAGTGCCCGAAAAAAGTCTTATGTGCTGCTTTGCCTGACGTTTCGCTCCAGGTGTTTTTTAATGGTATGTTAGACGAGGATTTATCAACTATTATTGAGCTGTCTGGACAGAAGTTTTATCTATCACGGTCATCGACGCTAAGCTAAAGGGCTTGGCAAACTACCAGACCCAAGACATTTGCAGGATCAACGTCAACCACCCGCACCTAAGAAAGAACGCTACTCGGAGCGTAACTATGAACCACGGCTACGAATGCATCTGAAGCTGCGAAGCCTTAAGCTTGCTTTGGAAAAAGACTTTGCGCCCCGATAGCAAGTTGAGCCAGACGATCGCTGAGGACACGACTAGACATGCACAAATCTGACGGACTCGATACTACTGCCCGATAAAATGTGTTTAGACGCGGCATTTGTAGAGCTCCTAGAGTTCTACGTGGAGTATAAAGGAAGCAGTCACGAATAATCGCTTGGTGCGCAGTAACACCATCTCGTTGCGTCTGCATATGACGCCTTTTGATATTTTTTAAGCCTCGAGTACTACTGGAATTTTTTCAAAATGTAAAAGTTTAAATTCTGTGTCACACGTATACTTACGTATAATCTATTATATTCGTGTGTCACACGTATACTTACGTATACAAAGATTTTCCATCTGCACAAATTAGCATGGTAGATAAAGCAGAGCCCCTCGTGGTTGGTGTCATTTTCCCGGCCAAGAAGATTGAACGACTTCAAGAGGTGCTGGAATCGGAGGAAGATGGTGTACGCTTCGTGTTGATCGACTTGGAGGCTGCGACTCCTTCTGGGGAATCCGTGAGCGCCGTCGACTTGGAGGCTGCGGCCCAGCGCTTCGCCGCTCGCTATGGACCTCTGGACGCGCTGCTGCACAAACTAGCACATGATATGGTGTTTGCAGGGCTAGGGGACCACGACGCTGCCAATCGTGTAAAGATGGTGCAGGAATTCGAGCGCCAGAACCCGTCAGTGCGTCTGGTGGACCCTCTAGACAATGTTCGACTGCTTACGAACCGTCACGAGGCCTGCCGGATGCTCCGAATGATGGAAAAGGATGCAGAACAGACGCAGAGCTTTAAAGTGCCTGTGTTTCACGTGGTGGAAAATTTGGAGCAATTTCAGAAACTATTGACGGAGGTGGACGCCGGACGGACGAGATTGCCGCTCATTTGCAAGTCAGTGGAGGCCTGTGGTGCGTCAAGACGAGACTGTATTTGGTTATGTGATGGAGGAGGAGAGACTGATGATGGCTATTGTGTCGTGACGTTTTTTTGTAGCGACGGATCGCTCGCACATGATGAGTGTCATCACTAAACGCGAGGACTTGGTCTACGTCGAGCACCCTGTTCTGTATCAGGTATTGTACCATGTTGGTTATTTGTTTGATGGAGATTTATTGATGCTGTTGTGATACTTCTGCAGGAGTTTGTTAACCACTCAAGCCATCTCTACAAGGGATATGTGTTGGGTGATATGATCGACGTGGCGGAACGACGTTCGTTGCCAAATCTCGTGGCTGGAGATGCCCAGCAAGTGCATTTTAACACCCAGGTGAATTATCCGACGACGAAGGATTTTCACCCTCATCTCAATGACAGCGATAGGCGCATTGAGACGGTTGGCAAGTCGACACAAGAGGAGACTTTTGCGGCCGTGCGCAAGATTGGCGAGCGACTTCGTACAGAGTTGAAGCTGACGCTGTTTGGCTTTGATGTCATCGTGGCGGATGATGGCTCGCGAGACCTTTATGTGATTGATGTCAACTACTTTCCGTCTTACAGGGAGCTTGACGATTTGAGCACCATCCTCAGGAAGCACATCAAGCAATTGTGCGGCCGCCAGTAGATATGTGAGGTGCCACATACCACACCATGGAAACGATGAATCACACCTTACACCTCACACCCATGTTTGCAATGTAGACAACCACAATGTAAATGACAGCAATTGTTGATACTGTAGCGGATGTCAGTCGCCACAGCTCATACGACGCTCGGCTTGTTTAGTGCGCTCCTTGCACTACTTCGCGGAAGCAGCGGTTGATGGTTTGCCAGTAGCACCATCTTGTGCTTTGCTATGATGGATTACCATTGCCCTATTCATAATGAACAATACGATAAAGCGTCGCAGTTCAAAGTGTTACACTTGTGTCCATCGAAACAATGTCAGCGTATTCCACTACAGGCGACAACATTTTCAGAGTGCAAGTCGCAAAAGGTATGAGTTGATGAGCCGAGAGAGCTTCTGCAGTCAAGGAATACATTTGGAAGAGGAAGATGGTTGAGTGGGCCTGTCTGATGCAGTCAGCAACTGCATCAGTCGCTAAGGGGTTTTCTTCGTCATCGATCAATAGTTGAGGCAATTCAAGAGCGATGGCGACGGCCGCTCGTCAACATGTCAACCTGCTCCACGCTCCAAGTGCATCCTCACACTTACTTGGACACAGTAAAGTCAAAGCGACAAAAGCCGCATCTCAATTCCAGCAATACACAGCTCACCTCCAGCGAAAAGCGAAAACATTCCACGCCATGGACCCGGAAACTATCTGATATTGTTGCAACACAACATCAAACTTCTTTTATATTTCTCATCAGGATCAGTGGCCATATTCCACGCTATCTGGCTGGTAGAATCGTTGCTACGATCCAATTCTATACATTCTGGGTCTCCACTTCCACTTCTAAAGCAGATGCCACCGAGGTTTCGCCAGAGCCAACAAGTAAGTCATCCATGCTGGACTGAGCTTCGGCCAGTAGTGCCTCGAATTCCGTGCCGATACTACCTTGTTTGCCAGGAGAAGCCCCGTCCACGTGTGAGTCGTTGTCTGAAAAAACGGTCTCGCTTGAGAGCGCGCGCCTGCGCTCAATCACCGACGAAGGCGACAAAGATTTAGCGCGTTTGGGCTCCAAATAGTATCCCTCGGGTTTAAGCGGGAGGGTCTTCACGCGCTCTCGGGCAAAAAGAATCGAGCAAAGCTCCTTCAGAATCTCATCCAGCACCACATAACCACACAACAGCCGTGTCTCCGCCCCGTGATCGTTCAGAGCTGCATCGTTGTCCTCTCCCACGAGCTTTTTGCGCAGTTCTTGCAGCTGTGCGGGACCGTTAGGCAAGCGATTTAAGCGAAGCACGGCATCAGCGTAAACCTCTTCAAGGATACTGCGCAGGCTTTGGCCCACTGGCATAACATCGTCCAGATCAAACAGTAGCGCGGAGCACCGAGCCTTCTGGGCGAGAGCATAGATCAATCCCGATAGCGCTAGGTTTTCCTGGAACGAGTTTTCCAACAGACGCTCAACGCGACTTAGAACAATGCGCAAGAAGAATGGCATGTTCCCTTCGTCACCTCTGACAATCAACTTTTGTTCGAGCTGCGGCTGAGTCCGCTCTCGAAGGCCAGCCGGTTCAGCTGGCGAAAATGATGGCAAACTGATGCTTAGATATACATCACGCAGCGGCTTCGTCGCATTGCGAGTAGCAGTCCGACTGGAGGATACTCTTGAAGGCGAGGTCGCACCTGCAGCAGTAGCAGCAAACGGAGGGACGCTTTCAGCCTCTTCCGATATTGGTACTGCTGTTGGCAGTTCTGTAACCTCTTCTTGCAAGTCGGCTTCATCGTCATCAGAGTCGTCCATCTCGTCAGGGCCGCGCTGGCATGCAGCGTACTCGGCATCAGCAATGTAAGAAAGTAGCGACAGCACCTGGTCGTCTTGGTCGTCGGCTGCCGGGATTTCTGCGGCGAGATCATCTGGACGGGCAAATGCATGGATGTTCCACAGATGGACGTTCGAAGCCACCGACGAATCGGGAAATCGCGATGCGAACCCGATAGCACCATTCTTGGGCGCGATAGGGCTCGAAAGCGAAGAGGCTGTGGGTGCGCGCTTTCGCGAACTCCACTCGCCTGCACTCTCGACAGTACTCTCAAGCCCATCACCTGCGTCTAGCAGTATACTGTCCGCGTACTCATCCTGTAATGCCAGTACGCTTGTGAACAGGTCAATGGTAGTGATACACAGGGAGCTTGAAAGAGAGTCTATGTGACGCAGTAACTCCGACGGCAGCTGCTGTGCTACAGAAGATCTATACGCTTGTTTTGCTTTCCGATTTGCCGGCGCTGGTGTGTTATCGTCCTCGATAACTGCAACTGGAGTCGCCGGAGATGTGTCCATTGTACGCACAGGTGTGCGTTCGAGCAGAAATTGTAAATAAACGAAAAGCAGTGGATTGGCTCGTGTGTCGCGACCACAGGCTGTCAATTCTTCTAGAATTATGCGCGCGTAGAGTGTGGCGGCGCAAGCGGCAGCCTCCGATGTGTGCAAAAGACCTTCGAGAAGCGGACCTTCCAGGAAACGAGTCCGGAACTGATCCAAGAGTTCATCAGCAATCGATCGGCGCTGCAGTTCACCTGTGACCTCATCCACTTCTTCCAGCTCGTACCGTGCCACCATCGCCAGGGTGCAGCAAAAACGCAATCGCACAGCGAGAAAGCTAACCTGGACCTCCATATTTGCATCCAGATCGATTGCGCTCGCTATGGCAGCAGAACTCTTTGCCGTCGATGCCAGAGTCTTGGGCAGTGCATCAAATGCTGAAATCACGCCGTTTACCGCATAGTGGCAGAACGGCGTGAGTTGCAAGACAAAGCGACAGAGTGCCTTGTCATGCACCGCTGCTGCAATCACTAGAGCTTCCCGGCACTTTTCGCCAATCTTTCCCATTGCGTACATATGTGGTAGCAGTCCCGTAAACAAAATCAGTTCAGGCACTTCACTTTGTGTATGATGCTTGTCCAAATGCAAGAACGGGTCATCATTGATTGCTCCAAGTGGTTTCGTACCGTTCATCATCATGTCTGTTGTACGTATCATGAGTCGATCAGCATGAAGAAAAAAGAATTCAGTCTGGACAGGATCTCCCCGTAATTTCTTCCACAGAATATTAAGTAAACTAATGAGATATTTTCGTACTGTCGGATCTTCCACTTCTTTTCGTGCTGCTGCTTGAATAAGAGCAACGACTGATACATGAACTTCTCGTGTTGGTAAAATTGGATAACTCACTCGACTCAGTAACGCACCAACAAACTGCATGACAAGTGACATGATGCCACAAGGTCGATCTCGTCGTCCTGCTTCACATAAATAAGGAATAATTTGTTTTAATAGCAAATATTCCAGACATTCATGTGATGCCTGATGTTCTTCTTGTTGTACTGGTGACAATGGCGACGAAAAGGACGAGGAGGTACGAGATTCTTTCACCATTTCTTCTGCTGCTGCTTTTGGACGTGCCATAATCATTTCCCATCGATCGGAATTATTTTCTTCTTCGTATACAAGTAATACTAACTTTAATAAGGAATCACGCGTGTGACTTTCAAGTAAAAGACGACGTTGTTCAGAAGGTTCTAAATCACGTGATAAGACTGACTCGAGAAAACAAGAAACACTTGTCCATAGATGATGAAATTCATCGACACGTGATTCGTATAACGTAGGAGTTACCATGTCTGCTGCTTGTGCTAAAGCATCCGAAGCACGGGCCGCTACAAGCCGAAGCTTGGACCGGAGCCAACTCATTTTGAAACGAGGGGTACAAGACGGTATTGGGATGAAGATACCGGTACACTGCATTCGGTATATCCTGCACTATCATATCTTGCGTATTATTTGATTTGAGAGACATATTAGTTGTGACATTTGTATAAAGGATTGAAGGGAAAGGATGGATATTGTGTCATGCACACAATCGACGTTGTTGCTACGTCCGTCCACACACTCGGTAGCGTTTCCGTCAATTGCGGACGTTCATGCTAGCAAAGGTGACGCAGCGCTCGTCATGGCTACGCGTACTAGCAAGAGCTTGTCATCCGTCACGTTCACTTGAGATTCATGCAACTTTTCACACACAAGAAGAAACCGACAAAGAGGAGAGAGTAAGAGGAAAGAGGTCACACGTTGATGGTCAAAGATCTTTACGTTCCAATGAATCTACGAGTCTCAAGTTCCATTTACTTCTTTCATCAGACACGAACACATCAGTAGCAGCTGGAGAGAAGAGATTTCGTGCAGTGGAGCAGCAGAAGGGGCAGCAACACGTCATGCTGTCGGCGGATGCACATGTCGAGAAGTTTCGCTCGTTGTTTGTCAGCGACAATGAAGTTCCGGCTCAAAAGGACATGGAAAGAGCCAGGACAAGTTTACAAAAGTTGGCAAAGGAATTGGCGGACCCTCGCGCAGCGGTAGCCAGAGAATCAGGTTTTCAGAGAGCAAGGAGACAGTTAAAGGCGGCAACGGGGAAACTCGATCGTATGCTGTATGCTATGCGACAGCGACGAGATTTTAATCAGGTGGAAGCAGTGGCATTTGTGTGGGAGGAGGAGATGCCGCAGTTTGTAGGGCAACGCAAACATTGGCAGGTCATTTGTGAACATTACGCCTTGGCTCTTAACTACCAGCAACGATTTCAAGATGTTGTGGACAAGTTTGCCAACTGCATCTTTCAAGAGAATGGACATGATACACAAAGTACAGAGGGAGGGAGTCTGCTGACGCCACGGTTGGCTCAATCGATTTTTGTAGCGCTTGGACATCTGCGTGATGCTGCTAGAGCATTGCAACTGCTCAAGACGATGGAGTGCCATGATGTTCATGTGACTAAAGTATCTTATTTCCACGTGCTGAACGCATTGCTGTATGATGAACGATTTACTGATTTTAAAAGAGTGATGCAGATCTGTGAAGAGATTGTCACTAAACTTCCTGGCGAAATCGTGCCGCTGTCGCTATTGCCGATGATCATGATGACTGCAGCAGCTTGTGGTGAATCGGAGCGGGCAATGAAATTTTATAGTCATCCACCGGACATGCCTATGTCGACTTTCACCGAGTTTCGTTTCGAGATCTGCTTGCAGCAGCTGAATCATCTGGGAGAAGATGCAATGCTGATGGAGATGTACCGCAATCTGATGGTGTCGGTACAAGCAAGTCGCGATCTCAAAGAAAGAGTGTCGAAGTATCTATTTCGGAAGAGAGTTGCACTTACTACGGCTGCTACTCGTAACGAGCGTCTTTGTATCGCATGTGAGATCTTGGAGATTATGAACCAGCACAAAATGCGTGTAAGCCATCACGCCATTTACCCGTTATTGCGCGCGTTATTAATTGATCCACTATCTCAGAGTGAAGATGGTGACGACCGACATGACGAGCAGATCCAAAACCGAGTGCAGTGTCCAGAAGACCTACACAAGTTTTTTGCGCGCTACTCGCATTCTTTGGAGTGGAATGCATTTGCTTTATGTGAAGCTATTGTTGCTAGCGTGCGTGCTGATCGTGCTGATTTAGTCGATGATCTCTTTGTTTACGCGCTGGACAGTGGTATGCCGATCAAGTATGCAGCGTTAGAACAAATGGTGGTTTACTATTATCGATTGGGACTCATAAACGATCTTGAGCGAGTATCTGATATGGTACGTGCGTTGCGCCTGAACAAACACATTCCTCTGGGTATCGCCGTGACAGAGATTGGAATGGCAGCGAACCTCCGCCTTCATCGCTATGACGAAGTGATCATCCTTTTTGAGGATTTTTCGTCTTTAGATGGCGAGCAGAGACGAGTTCTTCAGCGCCAATTCATGCTCAAGACGGCACTTGAAGCGTACATTCACTTGGGGCGCGGCGATGAAGCTCTGGCGATTCAAGCGTTGCTAAACCAAATGCACGGCACTTTGTTAGACGGAAGTGAGGATATCGAAGGGGACGAAGTGAAAGCGGAAATTAGATTAGATGAAGAGATTGCAGATAAGAAAGAGCTGATCGACGACAGCAATAGTGACCAAGTTGGTGAGCACGAGAGATTGTCTTTGCGTCGCTTTAACAGCTATACAATGGCGTCGGGTGACATCACGATATAATGATAATCTGAGCTATTGCTAACGACAATTGCTACGGTGAGATAAGGCTTAAAGTGCAGCTATTTCAAAACTTCTGTTGACGGAGAAATCGAATGAGCAAGTGTGTCAACAAGGATGATCTACTGCGGTCGTAAATGGTCGCGTCTTTTCACTATTAACTATTACAGGTACTAACTAATCTGCATCGACAATTAGAAGGTTTGCTTAATCTTTAATCGACAAACGGTTTCGAAAGGTTTAGATTTTTATAATATCCAAGTTCATACCAATGACATCCAAGCCCGTGCATTTCGACGACGAGTCGGACGAGAATGAGCAAAACCCTGGCGTCTTTATGTGGATTGAAGGTGACTCACTAGCACCACCTTGTCAGAGTGATCGTGATGTCGTGTCCAAGATCGTGGAGATTGCGTGTGTAACTCCCGACGACGTACGTTTAATGAACCAGTCAGCCTTTCGTCCATCCATTTATCTTACTCACTCTTCTTGTCTATTATTGCCATTTCTATAGGTTGTATTCGATTTGGGATGTGGTGATGGACGTATTTGTATTGAAGCTGCAAAGCGCTTTGGTGCTCGTGCTCGAGGTGTCGAGATTGAAGAGTTTCTGATCGAACGTTTTCGTGAGTTGATCGTCGCCAACGAGATGCAACAGCTTGTGAGTGTTTCACACGGCGATCTATTGGAGGAGGACTTGTCAGAGGCTACAGTTATTGTCACATATCTATTGCCTGATGCACTAGATCAGCTGACACCCAAGTTTGTTGAGCTATTGAACCAGAGTGATAAGAATGTGCGTATCATTTGCAATACGTGGGGCATTCGTGGTCTCACCCCTGATGAACGTTACGATGTCGGACCGTACGATAATGTGCCACTCTTCGTGTACAAAAGCAGGAAGACTCCTGTTGCATTGACAACACAAGAGGAAGAGTCAATATAGACTGAGACTGAAAGAAACAAAAACGAAGGCAGTGCGTCGGTCGACTCCATTTTTTAACCTGCTTGTCTTGGCCCCATCTAACATGAACAGAAGGTCTAGATCGACAAAGAAAACACGCGGACGTTTGACGTCACTTGCATTCAAGCACTACCAGATTTGTTAAGTCGGTGGACCACAAACATGCTCGTGTCGAGGTACGCCAATGTCACGTTCTTGATACAGTCTTTTTCCTTGTATGAAAGCTCAGCATCGGGTTTATTGGCACTACACTTGTCCCAAGCCAATGCTGTAATCTTGGAGATTGCTTGTTGAATCATAGCACGTTGCTGTTCTTCCATAATCATCTGCTGTACTTCTGCAGTGCCAGAGGACGTGCCATTTCCGCCAAGAGACGACGAATTGGACGAATCAAAAGACGAGGGTACCGATGGTGCACTATAATCATACGAAGGTTCTTCATACGCGTACGAGTCCGAGTCCGTAGCCGTTGACTCGGGTGTCTTGCTCTTGCCAAATCCAAAGAACGACATGCTGCTGCTTGCTTAGTTTCTCAATGTGTGGCTCGAGTCGGTTGGATTCTTGGACTTTATCCAACCCCCAAAAATATATCGCTGAAAATTTAGAAATACGCACTGTATGATATTTCAGGTCTATTATGCTAAAATGCTAAATTCTAAATTCCATAATGCGCAATACAGTGTACAAATAAATACCAAGAGCTACAGACCACATGCTCCATTCAAGATCACGCAGCTTGACGCTGCTGACGCGGACGCTACGGCGCTCGACAACAGCTCGTAATAATCCCATCTACTTCCTCGCATCTTGTACTACTGTTACTTCCCCATTTTTGTATCGAAACGCGTCATTTGTGTCCCAGGACGACGTAAATGGTCTACAGAAACCCAAGAACACGCCGTCTTTTGCGATTGCAGCGGCCTTTGAAGGCCACGAGGATCTCGAAGACGATGAAATGGACTCTGATGATCTGTATGGTCATGAGAAGGATTCAGAAGACCTGGAAATCGATCGTTCACGCGCCCTTAAAGAGCAATTTCAACGTGGAATGGAGAAAAAGAAGCTCTGGATGCAGTCGCTGGCGTCACAGAAACTCTATGCAGCTGTTGTCAAGAGTGTAGCTGACTGTTATGCGCCTCTGTATGAGGCCATGAGGCTTAAAGATAAGTGTCCACTGCTGACAGTTGCTACGGACGAGGCTAAAGAAGACCACGAGCTCGAGACGGAGTATAAGCCGCTACGCTTTGACGACATGCTGACCAAAGCTACGGAACAAGAAGCATTGGCACTTTTGGTCATTGCCAAGCAGCCACTGCTAGCGTTGATGATTGTAGAACATCGTGACAAGCTTGCTAAAGAACTTTCGAGGCGTGCGAAGGAAGGAACAGGTGTGGTGCTTTTAGGAACGAACGTCATGGAAGACGAAAACGTCGTGACGCTGGGTGGTCACTTTCGCATGTTTTACTCGTGGGCAATGAGCGCTTACGCGATGTGTGGTCCAAAGTACTACCCACAAATGTTCGACATTTACAAGCGCGCGCATGATGCAGGTGTATACGCGTCAGCAAACATGAACGTTCAATACATTTCAGCGCTCATCACGGAGAGACGATACGATGAAGTGTTTGAATTTTATGAGACGGTACTTCGCATGAACCAACCTACGTCAGTGTACTTCTACAGGCAGCTGCTGCTTGCAGTGTCTGCGACACGCAAAGTAGAGCTTTTGGATTCGATTCTGGAAGACATGCGTGTCAAGGGTTTTAAGCTGCGTGCGGATGATTATCTGCGCGCCATCCGGACGTATGACAATGAATACTTTTTTACCAAGACAAAACCAAAAGATAAGCGCCAGTCAAGCCAACGAAACCACAGCAAATCTAAGACGAATGACTCCGAATTTGTACTCGTGACACCTCGAGATACGTACAACATGTGCGTGCAGCGGATTTACGAGCAGGAAGAACACCCAGAACGGTTCGACAGGATTGTCGATGCTGCACAGAGTGTGCTAGGTCTCTTCGATACAATGGTGGACATTGATGGACTCGCTCCGCGACATGAACACTTATTCCCACGTGTGATCACAGCGGCTGTGTATGCTCAGGAATGTGAGCGCGTTCCAGAACTACTAGCCCTGCATGGCGATCATGCTGATAAGCCTCTCCATTATGCAGGTGTTCGCATGGCCGTGAATGCTCTCTTGCTCCTGGAGAAGCCCACAGAAGCGTGGGGTCTCGTTCGCGAGGCAAACCCAGTCCTCGAGCCCCACCGTTACGCGCTCTTGGGCAACATTTTCAACTATTTGTGCATGAAGAAGCGTGGCGCAGACATCATCACATTGATGCATGATGCGGAAAAACTGGAGCTACAACGTGTTTACACGCTTTCCTTGATCAAAAGTTTAGTCCCTGCGCTTTGTGCCAGCGTCGACAGCGTCAGCGACGAGGAGTTGATTGAGACCATGTCACGTTTTGACAGCGTTTTCCACCTGCGTACCAGTGAACATCATTTTGGCGTGTTTCTCCGTGAATGCTGCCACAGAAAGCGCATTGCAGTTGTAAAAACTGCTCTGATGCAGTGGTTGGTCACCTCGGCAAACAAACGACCGCTTAAGGGCTCTGTTGCTAAAAAGCTTCTTGAAACGTTCGAGGACGAGTCTGACTGGGCCTTCATGGCCGAAGTGTTTGAGCTTACCGATTTTTCTCACGTGAATAGTGAAGAAGATCGCAAGGCCATTGTAAGCGCTGTTTCACGAGCCTACCAAGTTCTTGGCCAACCTGAGCGCGTGGACCGTGCAAAGCACGTGTCAGAAGTCGCCGGTAAACGACAAAAACTGTTGAGGCAACGTTCAGCGACGAAACAGCAGAAAAAGAAAACTGGAAGGCGATCTAGTGGAGTAAGTCCTTCTCCGACATTCTCACAGCCAGTGATGATTAGTGGTATCCCTGTTACTTCCTCCTCCTCCTCGTAGATTATATTTATGAGCAGTAGATTGATAATGCAGAATCAATTACGTTACAATGTTAACGCATTGATACTTCTCGACAGGAGATCATTTACACGCTGTCTGTTTATTGAATTTGATAAGGGTCCATTGGTCTCTCGCATGTAATGGACGCAAACTAGAGTTTGGAATATCCTGCACCATTTTGCATTAGACGTCGAAAAAAGGCTCGGAAAAGGTACTTGAAAGTCAATAAGCAAACATGGCGGTGACGTTCTCCTCGCAAGTCATTGACATCTTGGCAAAGTGTGGCTTATGATACCAAAAGGCTTACACCAATGTCTCTAAACACTCGCTAGAAATCTCTACTAAGTCTAAAGCCGAGTTCAAACGATTGCTGCTGTGGTTGGTGGGAGAAAACAAAAACATCATCAATCTCGTCGAGTATTCCAGTGGATCTACAGGAAGCATTTGGTTCATGACTTGCAGTGCCATTTTGTCAGAACTTGTATTCGAATGCCGTTCTACTCTCTAAATAGGGGTCCTATATAGGAGTCCAAACTCTTGGGACAGAGAAAGTAGAACGCAGCAAGCGCTTTTTTTTTTTTTGAGCAAATCGTTTATTTATAGGCCTAAGGAAGGTACCATTTGTATCTAACTCTAGAAAATTCGATTATCATTTTCCATGAGCCCTTCCCACCAGGACTAGGTGAGGAAACGTAAGCGGCTAGCGCTACCGTCCAATGGCGATCTAGACCACCATACATATTTCAGGTGTGTCTCTATGGTTGTATTCTATCCTGTGGAAATAAACGACCTGTTTATGGCGACATGTCTCAGCGCATACGGTTAAGTGAATACATCCCTAACTACAAAGTGGCTCCTCTCTACCCATTTCAACCAGCAGACATAACCGCTCATGGAAACCGACCAGCAATAAGTTGAAGCTGGTGCTCGTTTGTTTCGTATGCTAGACGCAACAACGTCCTAGAGTCATTGCTTTGCCTCCCATCTTCATTATGGAGAGTTGTGGCCGAGTTGTTACGTAAGTGGGTACGCCCAGACTATAAAAGCTGCAGATAGGAGAAGTGTTTAATCAGGTGATCACTTAATCAGGTCAAGCTTAGAGACAAGCTAGTAATCAATACTTAACTCAAGTAACTTATCTGCTGCGTGTCAAGGCGTGTCACATAATCCTGTGGCTATGTACTGGCCAAGAATCCCTCGCGCTCATACTCAAATTTTTCCTTTCCTACCAAAGTCTCCCGCCATGCGTGTGCTCAACTGCGTTTTCCTCCTGGCCGCCTTTGCCGCAGCCGTCTCGGCCGACACTACTACTCAAGACAAGACGACCTTGAACACGGTCAACCCAACCGACAACACCGAGAACAATACCAAGGGATCGACGGCCGACATGACCCCGTCCTCAAAGGGCGTGGACGGCAGCACCGACGTTAACGGTAGAGCTGAAAATACACAAGACAACGACGAATTTAAAATCCAGCCGCAGCCAATTCGCGTCCCTACGGAGGCCCCCTCTACCACCCCCATCAGCCCCACACCAGAAAGCAATGCTGGGTCTACCAAGGACCCCAGTAGCAAGCCAGATGAGACCATCGCCAGTAGCAGCGCGGCTGTTGTGACACCTACGGCCTTTGTACTCGTGTCGATTGTTGTCTACGCCATGCTCTAAGTGACATCTACTCATCTCACCTATCAGCTGATCCCTCTGTGTCGGTCGGCTGCTGCCACGTGTGCATAGCAGCAAAGCAGAAACATTTCTGTCTATGATTACAAACACCAATCTTTTTTATCCTCAAGAATATATTTTTGACTGTTACGGTCCATTATCTCAAAAGTATTATTACTACGGATACACAACTTGGCACAGAAAGTTGATATATATATACCTTTTTTATTACTTCTAGCAGGGGTTGCTCTTTGAAGTGATCATCACTCTCTCACCGGCATACAGTACTACTTATTCTGGTCCACAAAAACACCTAGGACGAGATGCTACGTTTGAGACGCGCTCGTATCCTGCCGCCGCTGACGGCCTCACGCCAGTCCCAGCGACTAATATGGAGCCCCGCCTCTGGCTTCATGGCGTGGCTTGGTTTTGGCGATACTAAACGCCCTACAAGCTCTACAAACCCCACAAAGCAGCCATCAGTCCAGCCTAAAACTCCGCGTAAACGCTGGGCCTCCAAAAGAGAGCACGTCTTGAGGCCGCAGCCATCAGCCGACGCCTCATTCCCGACAGTGCAGAAATCACTGAGTCTAAAAAGGAAAAAAAATGCCGTCCACGCGCTTGGCCGCTTATCACAGAAGATCAAAAACGTGTCGTCATCGAAACAGCTTTTGGACGCCTGGAAGATCATTTCACAGTGTCGACCGTTTGTCGTACAAGAGGATGAACCCTTTCAAGTTCAACTGGCATCAGTGGAAAACGTTCAGGACAATGATTCGTGGCTCTTGCAGATTGTGCCTGCCAATGTCTTCGCAAAGCTCTCGGCCAAGTTGTTCACACGCATCATGTTTGTGGGGTCCACCCAGGTGGGTCCATTCGATACTGATGTGGTGGTAGCCAATGAGACTGTTATGGTGGGGTATTTCGTGAAGGCTTTTCACAGGATGAAGGAGCACGAGCTCGTGGTGACGTTCTTTGAAGCTTACGACCGTGACCGGGGTGTCTGGCTGCAGGAACACCAGCTCCATGCAGAAGCTACAGTGCCAGATGACGGCCTTAGTGACGGAGACAAGGAAGAGGAAGCCAAGCCAGACTATATAGAGAAACAGGTGTTGATTAAGAGAGTTACGCGGCTCCCACGTACCGTCTATTCGTGTTATCTTCGCTCTCTGGCTGCTTTGAGGCAGTCAAAAAAGATCGTACGGTTCTTTGAGGACAACGAACACCAGCTTGAGAGGATCTGTGTTACAGTTCCCAACTTGCATTTGATCCTTCACGCCTGCTACAATGAGAAGAATGGAGCCCTGGCACGGCGAGCGATCGACACGATTTTGAAATGCTCCCCTGCCGCTGTCATTCCACTGGGTTGCTATGAGCTAGCGATCCGAGCTAATTTGTGCGATCGCAAGCGTGACGAGCAAGGGTTGCTGTCTGCAATCCACCTGGCGCAAGCACTGCTCAATGATGGCGGCTTCATCTTGAAACCTGACATTTGGTCCAGACTTGTCAAGGCGAGTTTGGTTTGGGATCGTCCAGATCTCGCGCTTGACGTCTTCAAAACGTATCCACGCCATTGTATACCTGAATACCAGAGCAATTTTCGTCAGGTGCTGCGGACAGCAAGCCGCCTCGCTGGGTCTACTGCGCTCGAAATGATGCATTTCTGCTGGGTCAGCTACGATGCCGATTATCCTGACAGGAAAATGTTGCTTGACGAAAGAAAAGCGTATAAAGATACCATTTATCTCAATAACCCGGAAGTTAAAGCACTGTCGCTGGGAGATGCGGTGCTACCACCAAACATTCCTGTGGTCAACAAGGAGGCTGAAACTGATATGCTCAATACAATGATGTGGGATTTGCTGAAGCACTGCCATGATGTGCCATCCACCGTGCAAGTGTTGGACCTCATGGAATCCACTTGCTCGAAAGGTGGTGGAGTGGCTTTACGCAAAGCTGTAGTAAGCATGTTTGAGTACGACATGAATGAGAAGAAGATGTCGCCTCGCGCTGCAGTGGAGAGCTCGCTGAACTTTTGGAAAGAGCATTCTACAGTGTTGCATGGCCAGGGGTTTCTGGTGCACGTGCTATTGGAGGAGTGTATAAAGCATCAACTGGATGACGAGTGCGAGTTCTTGGTGAACTACTTACTGGACGTTGGTGTGGGACGTGTACCAGTCAACTCAGTCGTCAAGATGATGGAAGCCAACGAGTTACGCGGGCGCTTCGAAGCGAATGCTCGCATTGGCGATAAACTCCTTTACAAACTCTTTCGTAGCAACCGTGGAAAGCTTCGCGACGACTTTTATGAGCGCTATCTGATGAGCTATCTCCGTCTAGAACAATTTGACAAAGTGGGCCAGCAGTATGCCTATTTCAACCTTGAGCAGCGTTTCCCTTACAACAAAGTTATCCGGACAATTGTGCAGGATGCAGCTGCGCAAGAGGACAAGTTTGAAAGCAACAAGTAAGGAGGTAGTTCATGCTGGTAGCTCTTCCGACAGACGGGATAGTCATTTGCGCATGCCATCATGGGCAGTAGAATTTGGTTTCACGCTAGGAAGTTTCAGATTAATTATCTTTCGCTACGTCTGCTTTTTGTGAGAAGCACCCTGCAGATTGATGCACTGTAAAAGTGCTGAGCTAATGTACACAGTAGGTCGTGACCTCTTACCATTTCTCACTATGACCCTGCTCCAAGGCAATACAGATGAGTACCATAAGTGACATGTCCACTCCCGCCATAATGGTGAGAATATACTCATCATCCGGTTGGTTACTGGACAAAGAAGAACTGCACGTAGTAGTCACAGAGCTGTGACTATCAGCTGGGCGGAAGACACGACCAACGGCGGTGCGTGGGATCTTCCCGTCTTGTTCCATCCAGAACGAGACTTGGCGTTTAGCCCAGTTTCCTGTGAATCCAATACGGCACATTTTGCTCGAAGCAGGACTCTGGAATTCTACGTGAAGCTCAGGTAATGCCTTGATTGAAAACAGTTTGGTTGCTGACATCTTGGCATCGAATACGTTGTAGGTGGGGACAGGAGCCATAAGTTCACGTTTTATATGCACCAATGGATTACGAAGAGGGTCACGTAGCGTTTTCATTGCCGATGTCGTGCCTTGAATACGGAATACCTCTTGACCCCATTCGGCGTCACAGACGACAAAGTCCTCGCCGTTGGATGAATCCCAAAAACGGTCGCGTAGACGAAGTGTAGTGATGGAAGGAGCGCAGAAGTTTGCTTCAACGGGTGCAAGCTGTTGAATTTCCGGTAGTACGGGAATAGCAGAAGATGATGCACAGCCCATTGTCAATATTGGTTATGGATCTTTGATAAGCGACTTGTTTCGACACTGGGGAATTTGTAGAATGAATGACACGCTCGACTGTCACGAATTACTTAAAGACAAAGAGGGGACCCCGTTGCAAATGGACGTATCCAGCTGCATGGCATCCGATATTTCTTTGCACTGACGATTGTTTTCAGCAACGTTGGATTTTCTATTTCATACATGCCTTTGGGAGGAGGCTGTATTGCTTCCTACAGTAGTGCACTAAAAATTTCAGTCATGGCGTCACGACAGGGCTGCTTCTTTTTCGGACTTGCAACTTGTCTCAAGCAACTGGGATTTTAATGTACATGCATGTATCCACACTTTGCTTACTATATGACCTCAACACCTATCTCCACGCCACCTGTGTTCCAAAAATGTATGTAATAATGTAATTAAAGAGACAGAAATTGGTCTGGACAAGCCCCATTATCTCTGTGATCGAACTGGTTCTATCGTGGACATTGCGTTCTAAGAAACTACAGATGATTGTAATGTATTTGCTATTGGGATAGTGATGTCCATTTCCTGTCGCAAAGACTCTTAGCGGCTCTCCCACGTTAGAAGCTGAGCAGCTACTCCTGTGTGTTCTCGTCCTCATCTCCCTCGTCGCCCTCGTCCAGCAGACCGATGCAAATAAGGATCATCATCATTTGGTCCACACCTGGGGCCACGTTCAGCACGATGCTCTGCTCCGCTTTGTTCTTGGTGTGCATGTAAGTGAGCTGGGCGATAGTCTGCTGCACGTCAGCCGCCTCACCTGAGCCACGTACGAGCCAAAAGTTGAGCGAGTCACTGCCGTCTTTGGGTGGGTCACAGCCGATTGTGCAATGCTCACCACCTACGAGATCCGTGAACTCGGAGCGCACTGTCTTATCATCGGCTGTGAATTTGAACAAGCACGGCGTCTCCTCGTGCTCCGTCCGTGGGTACGCCGAGTACGTTGGCATTCTGTTAAACATACTGAGTCGCAATGTTGCGACCGGTAGCTGATTGCGTCCGTCCAGAAGCGTTCGCTGGCGGTGCAACGAATACTGTTTTTGCTGAATGAGAAATAGCGTCTCGTGGCTAGCGACGTCCACCACCGCGTCCGCCGTGACGCAGAGTTGTGTCAGTTTGGAAGCCACATGTACAGCGTCAAACGCAGCAACAAAATGGCGCAACGCTGCAAGTGTCTGCACTTTAGAGGCGACTTGTTTCATATCCATGGCTAAGAGGTGGCAAATAGACTAAATGGCGGGCGACCTTCCAGACGATATGGTTGAATATATTGTTTCAGATTAAATAGTATAAGACTCTTACGCACTTGTCTTTTGTAGCCAAGAGTGTACCCATTACAACTTGTAGCTAGCGAGCTACCAGACGAAATTGCTTGAAGTTCGCCACATACAATCAGATTTGCTGTCATGAATAGCAATGCACACAAGAATGATCATAACGGCATCGACGCCTTCTGCGATATCCAGTGAATACCCCATCGACGAACCTGGTGGTGCAGGATACATGTGTGCAATGGGCTGTCTCACCGTATTAGCAAAGAGACCTCGCTGCAACCAGATTTCAGTATCGTCCTGTTCGCCATTTGAGCCAAGTCGGCAGGTCTCGCTCGTCATAATGTCCGAAAATATCATCTCCAGCTTACTATGCGTCATTGTGAACTTGAATACTGGAGTCTTGGACATCTTTGTGCGCAGGAATGACGAGTACGTTGCTTTGTGCCGACGGAACGCACTCGTGCGTAAGGTGGCTACAGGCATCTCTGTCGTGTCCACGAGCATGCGCTGCCGATGCAATGAGAGGGGTTTCTCTCGGACTTTAAACAGTGTCTGACCCGTGGCATTCTCGAGCACGCCACCAACAACATGTCGGTCCAACCGGCACTCTACCTTGAGATGTAGTTTTGTGAATTCATGACAGCAATAGCCAGCATCAAGTGCTGCAAGTCCGAGGTGCTGCGTCTCAAGAGGTCTCCGCTTGGCGGAAGAGGGCGTCCACGAGGGCGCAGGCAATGAGAGCGAAGCCGAGTAAGAAACAGAGCGCCGTAAAGACGTCGAGTGCTTGGGAGGCGCAGTAGCAGATTTGTTCACGGAGCGGCGATGAAACATCATCACGACGGTAGTGACAACTATATACTAATGAGTATACTAATGCAGGAGACAACTGCGACATTGCGGGCGAACTGAAGTTTACAACGTGTTGCGCAACCTTCAATGCACTTTCAAGCGACCAACAACTTAATCGAAGCGGCATAATTGATTTATGTCGATCCTATTATCAGAAAAAGAACACTATCAAACAAGGACGCTAACGCTGCGAGGTCAGTTATCAAGCAAGGCGGAGAGGACGAGACAACTGAGCCTTATCTCTATTCGGCGAAAGGTTCTGGTTGAAGGTATTCGAAACGCTTGAATTTCAAGCTAAATGAATACAATTACTCGACCAACTGTTATTGAGTTATTTGCCAGACTGGCCCAGTAACGGGGTGAGCCCATTACATAACTATTATTAAGTGCCAAGGTAAATCTTATTTTTGCTAGTAGTATTCGACAATATTGTCGTATAAAATAATATTGTCCTTGCATCTCATTGAAGTTGGAGCTGCCCTTTGGTTGACTGATATAGATCATGATATTAGTCAACGCGCTGACCAATGGCAGATGGACGCGCGCAATGAGTGGAGGACAGGTAGTTAGCATACATATAAGTAGGTATACATAATCAAAGTAAGTTTCTACAAGATATGACTTATTATTAATGGGTCTAACTATATTAAATAGTGTTCTATTTTCATACTTCTAAACGTGTCCGTTAAGTTGTAAAGGTTCCTCTGCCTCTCGTACATGTGTCACTGTGAAAGTAGTGTACGAGAGGTAGTGCCAGTGTAAAAGGATTACACTGTGTCAGTATAATCAGAGGGTGCGAATCCCAGTTACACCTGGTAGCACTTCGTGGCCGTTCGACGGCCAACGACTCATCTGCTATGAAACCAGCGGATGTGACGCGCAATACGTAATGACTTCTGTCATTAGAGTGACCTCGAATGGCAGGCAGTACAGTGTATAGCTAACAAACCGTCTGCGATTCCACCGCCGGTGCCATGTTTCGCTTTCTAAATGAAGACGAGCAGTATGCAATCATCGCCAAATCATTCAACATGAATGTAGAGACCGAGCGGACTCGCTCCAAGGTACAAGCGATTACAAAGTGCAATCGCTGCCAGAAGATGGGCAACTACGCGCATGAGTGTAGTGCCTCACGCCCAGAATGCGAGTGATGACCGTCTGTCTGCCAAGAAGGGCCAAAGACGTGGGTCTTACGCTGCTGTGAAACCGCAACAACCTGATGTACCGTCAGGAGTCAGTAAGGGCGGAGCGCACGACTGATCCAGCTACGTCAAAGGAGTTTGCGGGACGCCTGACGAAGATTGCTGCCAGCACACAATCACCCTGAAAATCGTAGTGACTAAAGAAATGCCACTTCGCGCCCGCCCTACTTGACTGTGGGTTTCGATCAATAAATGGCTAGGCAATTGTAGGCTCAAATATATTGAGATCGAAACCCCTCCAGCGTGGATGACGATGCGCATTGCAGCTGGAGCATCCGTAACAGTAAAAAAAATGTGTGGTAAGAATTTACGACAAGCTTGAAGGCAAGAAGTTTCATCGTACTCGATGGATGACAAATTTGATGTCATCCTTGGATTACCATGGCTCAGAAGGTACGAACCATGGGTCAGCTGGCAGCATCGACCGTGAAGATGCCTGCCGCTTCTTCATTATATATTATTACCACACTAGTTAATGACGTTAACGACTCGCCCAATAAGGGACAGGTCGACGTATGGTGCCCGACAGTAGGACAGCTATATACATGAGAGTGTGGAGAAGTGCCAGAAGAATCGGGGCTTTGAGAAAATCACAATAAAAGGGAAAAGAATCCAGGCCTCGCAAGGTCCCAAGGTTCAAACGAGGGTCACCAGGGACAGGGATACTGTGGTAAAGTCGATTAGGAATTTTGGCTAAGTCCATGTATTAATTTTATCGATAAATCCGGAGCCGAATTATCGGGACCTTTCTCGCCAACGGTTGGATCCCTTTCCCATAATGGCTGGATCCCTTTCCCATAACGGTTGGCTCCCTTTCCCATAACGGTTGGCTCCCTGTCCACCACTAAGTCACTTACTAAAATGACTTATTGGGTGTGGTGGAGTCGGTCGTAATTCATGGATGATCGAATAGAAAAGTACCGTTGATCGTAGCATGGATCATATTTCCATGTTATATTGGATTATCATGGAATAGATCACCGCTTGGATATACTTGGCTCCAGTATCGGTTGATCCAACTGAATGTATTAAAATTGTACGGATTTTACTTGAATGTGGAATAGTGGAATTGCTCAAAGTGTGGATCGCGGCCTCAATTAATTGTAATGGACAAATCATGATCCGAGATACATATCGTATCGCTATCGAGTTTGGATAGCACCGCGATCGAAGTCTGGATCGCACTGCAATCTTAGTATTCAGGTGGATCCGCGATCCGTGATTCTGTTATTTCACTATGGAGGAGCGAGTAAACAATTTTCATAAATTGTAGATCGCGATCCAAATTATGTGGATCACACATCAAGGATCGATCCCGAAACATTGTGCAGAAACGCGATCCAACTTGGAAAACGCGATCCGACTCAGAACCGCGATCTGACTCAGAACCGCGATCCAAAGCTGAGCGCGATCCGACTTAGAATAGCGATCCAAAGCTGAGCGCGATCCGACTCAGAACCGCGATCCGAATCAGAACCGCGATCCAAGGCTGAACGCGATCCAAGGTAGACCGCGATCCAAGGTAAACCGCGATCCAAGGTAGACCTCGATCCGACTCAGAACCGCGATCCAAGGCTGAGCGCGATCCGACTCAGAACCGCGATCCGAATCAGAACCGCGATTCAAGGCTAACGCGATCCAAGGTAGACCGCGATCCAAAGTAGACCGCGATCCGACTCAGAAGCGCGATCCGACTCAGAACCGCGATCCAAGGCTGAACGCGATCCAAGGTAGACCGCGATCCAAGGTAGACCGCGATCCGACTCAGAAGCGCGATCCGACTCAGAAACCGATCCGAACCAGGACCGCGATCCAAGGCTGACCGCGATCCAAGGTAAACCGCGATCCAAGGTAGACCGCGATCCGACTTAGAAGCGCGATCCGAATCAGGACCGCGATCCAAGGCTAACGCGATCCAAGGTAGACCGCGATCCAAGGTAAACCGCGATCCAAGGTAGACCTCGATCCGACTCAGAACCGCGATCCAAGGCTGAGCGCGATCCGACTCAGAACCGCGATCCGAATCAGAACCGCGATCCAAGGTATAGCGCGATCCGAATCAGGACCGCAATCCAAGGCTGAACGCGATCCAAGGTAGACCGCGATCCAAGGTAGACCGCGATCCAAGGTAGACCGCGATCCAAGGCTGACCGCGATCCAAGATAAACCGCGATCCAAGGTAGACCGCGATCCGACTTAGAAGCGCGATCCGAATCAGGACCGCGATCCAAGGCTAACGCGATCCAAAGTAGACCGCGATCCGACTCAGAAGCGCGATCCGACTCAGAACCGCGATCCAAGGTATAGCGCGATCCGAATCAGGACCGCAATCCAAGGCTGAACGCGATCCAAGGTAGACTGCCATCCAAGGTAGACCGCGATCCAAGGTATAGCGCGATCCGACTCAGAACCGCGATCCAAGGTATAGCGCGATCCGTCTCAGAATCGCGATCCAACGTAGGTCCGCGATCCGACCTAGATCGCGATCCAACTCACAAGGATTACGCATTATGGATCGACCGCGATCCTGAGCTGATACGCGATCTGATTCGGATCGCGATCCAAGGATAAGGCAAGATCGCCGATGGATCGGGTTGGCAAAGGCATTTGGGGTGGACCACATATCGAGATCTGATTTTTCCTGAAAGGGTGACACGTGGTGATAGATCCTGGACTACAGATAGGCAGAATTGTAGGTTTCAAGTTTTGATTGGTTAACACTAAATAGAGTTCAATTTTACTTCTAGTACACGTGTCGACTTCTCTTCCGGGCTGGATTCTTTGGCCACCCGACGTCTCAAGGAAGCCTACACACTACGCAAGTCATATCCCTGGATTGTTTGGCCAGGGATTGCAAGAACTCTCAGCACAACTCAACTGCGATCGGACGCAGATAAAAAACGTAGGGCAAGGCGAAGCAAGTGCAGGACGGATCAAGTGGTCAGAAGGTTTTGCTCAAGTGGTCAGAAGATTCAAGCTTCGTTTTATTGGATAACCGTGATCGATTGGGAAGATCACACCAAGTACTCGGTTTGTTTATCTTGTGAAAATTTCCGCAAGATAACCAAACCCCCTATCCCTAACCCAATTAGGATCAACATCGACTCAAGTCCACCGAGAAGAGAGCAACCCGCCCTATCGACGGGTACACAAGGTGAGGAAGGCTATATACACGGAATCGGGGTACCCCCTCCGTTAGTCGGTCGTCCGGGCGCCAGTGGGGAGTTGGGATCGCATCAGCAATCTTGCGAATCCCACTACACCACAATGGTGCGCGTGCCCGGATCTTCTGGTGACTCAAGTTTCACCGTGAGTCCCTGAGAGAAGATGTAAAGGTCAAAATTGAACCTGGGATTGAAGCGTCAGCGGCAAAGGGATCACCGCAGACGTGTGAAGAAAAAAGATCCCCGGATCATCAGCGTTTTGGGAGGGGCGCAGATGAAAAGAAAACCAAAGAGGAAGATCAAGAGATTGATCTGGAAGAAAAACCTCTACCCCCTCCCCAGGTCCTTTCGAGGACCCCTGCGGATCACGTTGCAAAACGCGATCCGCTGGATAAAAATCCTACGGTTAAACCCGAAGGAAATTTATCCAAAACCACTCCGAATTCGAAGAAGAAGAAGAATTCGAAGCCATCTCGAGTGAAGATGAAGGCGCCTGAGTCGGATCATGATGATATCGACGTGAAGCCAGCGCATGAGGAAGACAAGGCGAAAGGATGGCAACTGGATCAGATATAATGGTGTTTTCATTGGAAGGCGCTTAAAGATCTGTTTTCAAGCG